TCATGAAGGGTTGAAATAAAAGTCATATATATATATATATATATATATATATATATATATATTATTATTATTATTATTATTATTATTATTATTATTCCAGGATCATTTTCCAAATTATTCAAGATGATCTTCGCCCACTCTAACCTTCTAACTTTTTGTTCTGGAGTAACAAGGTGCCTCACAAGTTTCACGTATGATGTCATTTTCAAGTCTTTATTTCACTGCTTTTTAGAGTGTCATGGCTGAAAGTTCTATCTCCCGTGCCAAATGACTTATGAATTGAGTTGGATCTTTTCTAATTGATCTCTTTAACTCTAAGTTGAAATGATGATCCGTCTTCCTGTTGTGACCTCCTGATCCAGTTTTAATTTCTACTGTTCCCTCTTTTTAAAACTTGTTCACCGTTCTTTTGATGGTTCTTGAATGGACTTTGAAGATGATAGCCTGACTATGAATCTTGGTACTGAAGGCCTGAATGATATTTTTCGACTCACCACTGATCAGTTGGGAAGACAGTGGGCCTGACATAAAACGAATTTAATCTGTTCTCTTTCTAGCCGAATAACTCAAGGGATTTTCAGTGATTCTTACAAACAAAATGGTGTCAAGATGGCTAAACGTCTCATTTCGGAAAAACGAAACTCAATTAGTTTATTTATTTATTTATTTATTTTTTAGATATTAAATATTTTGTGGGATGAATAATTATGTTCTTACATGATTTGGATGATTTTGCTGTTACACCCAGTGTATATATATATATATATATATATATATATATATATATATATATATATATATATATATATGAATTGATGATGAGTTTGTGACACTGGGTTTCACGCTATTTGCGACAGTCAGACGAACTTATTAATTTTAAATTTTGGATTTTCATATGGTTGCGTATATCGTTTTTTTTTATGGCAGTGAGAGGGAAAATAGTCGGAACGCCACTCGTACGTACGCAGACATACATACACGCACGTTCACGCATTGCAGCTCACACATGGCTGCCAGCGAGGCGAAACGGTGTATTACCTAATTCGAGTTCATATCCAGTCTTATACTATTGCATTCACTTTCGCATTATTGGATTATCGAAAAGCATAGAACCACTCAACTGTAAAAGTAATACTGTTTATGAATACTCGTATTTTTGCAAGATTGCATTTCCAATAACAATAATCACAAAACAACACTAAAGACTTAGGTTGGTCACAAAAGCATCACAGTTTCGTGTAGATTAACTTGTCACTGATGTAAAAAGTGCCATTCGCGCACAAACAACTATTAACATAAAACAGATATTAGTCAATAATAACAAATTACTCTACGGTATTCAATGTAAAGAATTTTTCAAAACACTCCAAGTTATTATTATACAAGAGAAACAATCTGCATTAAATAGGATATATATCATTATATAACACACACACACACACACACACACACACAGATATATATATATATATATATATATATATATATATATATATATATATATATCTTCACGGAAGACGGTATTTTAAAATCCGCCTGAAAAATTATAACATAAAATATTCCAAGATGTGGGCACAGACTGAGCGCGATTAATTCCAAAGACCCTAACGTGGAACAAGCGGATGATAATTATAACAGATCTCAACGGTTGAACCAGCGGATGAAGAGGACTACGCATGACGGACATAATACAGAAGACGTCACTCGAAATTATAACAGCGTCAGCGGCAGTTCGTTGCAGTTTCATAACTGGATTCAGCTTCTCTCATTCAATATGTGCCGCAGAGGAAGGTCACGAAATCAAGTATGTGGCAAGGTGAGGTTCCCCATAAACAAATTCACGCAATCGGTACTTTCTTCTATTCTGATTTTCTCTCACCCCCAACCAACTCTTGCAAAGCCAGACGGCAATGGGGAATCGATGACGGGAGTAGGGTTTGCTGAAACTGGAAGATTCTAGTCCTGAACCTGCATGTTGGCAAATAATTTAGTCACCAACGCCATCATCATAAAGTAGAAATTAAATTCTTGGATACGAGATAAAGCCGATGACAACGATATAAAATATTTTAATATTCTCATTTCCGGTGTTGCTGAGTTGTGTGAAAGCTTTCTACGCATGCGACACGTATATTTAAACTTGAAAGACAACTTTCTAAAAAGTACCAGGATGTAGCTAACAGAAATAACGCCGGGGAAATATCAACAAGCCGTTGTGAGGAGTGTGACAATGAAATCAGGCATGGCTGATGGTGTATGGCGTGAAAAGCTCCTGTGGAATAAAGTAAAAATACTGGACAAGGGGGAACACTGGAGAGTTAGACGTCAGAGTGAATTAGCGCCTAAAGCTAGGATCCTCTTTAGCAGACCTACTCTGGAAAGAAACACGATATTTAATAAAGAAAGAAAGAAAATAGTGGTGGACAAGACGGAGGAAACGTTGGGATAACAACAACAAAGTTGAGGAGAATAGCCTGAATGTAAATTTGGACAGTTTATCTGCAATATTGATCCAGATGTGCAACAACTTATTCGAAAATTGGAATAATACAATAAAAATAAAACAGACCTTGTCGGTTGAATTATAAGTGCTATTCTATTATACAATGTTTGTGTGCAGTGAGCACTCCATCTTTCAAAACTGATATCAAGAATTAAAATTTAGTATGAAGTAGAGCATTAGTATACATTTCTGCTGATTTGTTAAAAGAAATTTAATAAGAAATCAGTAAAAGGCATTTCAAATATTAAAGGCTTGTAAAAAGTTTGTGCTTTTAAAAAAGGCAATAAACAAATCGATTTAATTTTTCGTAGGCACCTAAAATCCAATCGAAATTCAACTTGCCGATCATGCTTTCTTTTTTGTTTTCTTCCCTAACAGAACTGCATTTCTGTCATAAATTCATTTCTTGCGTGGTATTAAGGAGCTTACACTTTTCCAGAAATACATATTGCATATTATTCTCTAGAAATGAAAGTTTGGTAAAAGTCGTTGACAAGCATCTTGGCATTTATTGGGTCATATAGTTAAATCTTTTTAAAGTTAAATCTAGTTTGAATGCTTTACTCGGGACCAGTGACTCAAGGGAAGACTCATCACTCAAATGCTTAGGTGGACCAATTACAACATGATATATCAAAAATATTGATGTAGACCACATTCAACAATATGGTAGAGCTCAAATACTGAGGTAGAACACCTACAACAATATGGTAGTCTTCAAATACTGAAGTAGAGCACATACAACAATATGGCAGACCTTAATGGAGAAAAACGGAAAAATATTCGTGAATATGAAAGGATTATGATAAAAACACACAATGTTTGTAATATATTCAATCAAACATGTCTAAAACAGAATTTGCTGCCTAAATACACGCACGCACACACACACACACACACAGACACACACACACACATATATATATATATAGAGAGAGAGAGAGAAAGAGAGAGGGGGGAGGCAAGGTGGAGTAATGGATAGCGGCTCTGACTGAGAATCCATTACATTCACTTACGTGCTAATACCCTTGGGAAAGGTATGAATCCTCTTCTACTCCCAGAAGCAAGACAGACTGGGTTCTATAGCATGGATGGCGACTGGTCTAAGAGAAGGACAACTCTGAATTCAAACTGATGAGTTCAATGTATAAGTTTATATACAGTGCAATATATATATAAATAATATTATTCACACACACACACACACACACACACACACACACATACACATGTATATATGAATGAATGATAAGGAACAAATTATCCTATCAATCTGTTGTATTCCAATCCATGTTTGATTTATATTACTTCAATCTTTATTTTTAGTCGATACCCGAAGACAACGCTCCATTTATTTTAAATAGTTTTCTCGAGGGTTACGCAGGCCGGTTGACAAAATAAATGCTGTTTAGAAAGAACTTTTGAAGTAATAAAAATATGCTTGATTTAAAAAAAAAATGCATTAATTTTTAAAAGATTGCTTTGTGTGGGTTTTGGATACCTCGCTTTATTTTGAAGCTCTTTTTAGCCGAACGTTAAAAGCACACCGGATCAGACTGTGGTCCTCCTGCAAAGGGGACCGCAGGATCGAATTCCAAGTTTTCTCGGCTATTCAGGCCGGTAACCAAATTAAATATTATTTAAAATAGTTGAAGCGTCTACTCAAACACGGCTATCCACTAAAAACAACGTTTACAGTAGTAAAAATATGTCGGATTAAAAAATAAAAATCAGTCATATATATACCTACATATAATTATTTATTTAAAAATATGATTCCAACACGCTTATTTACCTAACGAGTTCTTTCCTATTTTCTATATATTTTTCACATATACCTATATATATATATATATATGTGTGTGTGTGTGTGTGTGTGTGTGTGTGTGTGTGTGTGTGTATTCAATTTTAACTTCGTGAAGTCAATGGTTAGACGTTGTCAATCATCCTTATTCTTGTAATCTTTACTTCCTGCCACTGCCCCTTTCACTCCTATAACTCCTCATTCATCGTTATCATTTTAACAGTAACCCCCCAACTTGGGTGACTCTCGAGGCTTTTATTAGGTGAACTAGGATAGTTATGGATTCTAGTACTTATTAGACCCACATAACACGTCGCGTAACCGCTGTTACTCAGGCGAAGGGAAGAGCGACATGTGTCTAATTTTATGGAACTTCCGTTTATAATCATTTATTTTATATTTTGTTTTCTTTTAATTTGATAAACTCAATTCTTTCGCCGTAAATTCTCTGGTCCTTATAGAATGAACAAAGTATTGACCATGTCGCCTGCGATTGGTTCAAATACATGCAGCGTGTGATACATCAGGAAGAATGTGAAGTCACCACATCAAAAAAAAAAAAAAAAAAGCGGGAAATGAGTAGAAGGAAAAGAAGATTAGATTCGCGCTATCGTCCAGAGTGGAAGAAAAATAAAACAGAGTAAAGAGAAGGTAAAACGAACCAATAAGATTAGAGAAGAAATCAAGTAAGACCGATATTATAGGGGAGTTGAACGGAAGAAAAAAAATAAAGAAGAAAGAGAAGAAATGCGAAACAAAAATGGAGGGGAGATCTTAATAAAGACCGGAAATGATAAAGAAGAAAAAAAAAGAAGAAATCTATACATGAAAAAGCGGGGAAGACAAAATGGCTAATTGTGCAGAAAAAAAAATTAAGTCAAGAAGAAAAATGAGACAACGAAGAGAAGAAAACAAATAAACAAAAACATTAACTCTCCAAGAATAAATTCAAATAAAAGAAACTTATAGAAGAAAGTATATCTATAGTAGGAACAAGATAAGGGTAGAAAGAAGAAAGAAAAAATAAAGACAATTGATTAAAACTAAAACATAAACCACTCTCCTTCTCTCTTTTTTCTACCCTTATCTTACCCAGATTAACCTCGTCATAGAATATATCCAGCTATAATTTAGCCTAATCCAGATGAATCTCGTCCTGGGTATGACGATAAACTACATCCAACAGCACAGCCTCTGATCAGGAGGTTTTGAGGAGCGTGGAACCACCTCTTAATTGCTGACGTTCTCAGGTCCGATACGGGGTGGTAGCACCTGTTAAGGTACCAGCCATGGGCAAATAGTTAAATTCCAAAATGGGGTTAAAATACTATGAAAATGTAAAAATAGGTTTTAATACCAGCAATACATTTTTGTAAAAAAGTATTACCAGCAATACATTTTTGAAAAAATATTCCTATTAATAAAAATCTCGTCGACCTTAAATGACCCATTGAGGTGTTGATATGCCGTAAAACAAAACAAAACAAAAAAACAATCCATATTAATCTCCATGGAGGTTGCGAATAGCTTACTTCGCATTTCGGACTCTAATCTAATCTAAACTATATCTGCTAAGCCTGTTTACACACGCATTTTACTATAAGTATCAACAAATATTTTTCAGTGCGTTAAAAAAACTGTTTTCTTTCCTTGACACCGCTATTATTTTAACCACCTTCACTTCTTTATTCACTTGACTTAAAATGTTTTTGTCCTTCCTTGCCTTTAAAGAGGTGCCCTTTGTCGTGCTGATGTTGCTACATGCCTTACTTCGTGCCTATCTCACACTGCGATTTTTTTCTAAGCTCTATACTAAACATTAAATCTGTTACGAAAAAAGAGCTAAACAAAATGAACACAAAACGATCAGCTTTAAAAAAGGACTCGTAACTGGAAAAACCGAATGAAAAAAGAATGTTAACAACAAATACTTTTTCACACCCAACCCAGTTCTGCGGAATCAGAATCAACGTTGAGTTTAAGCAAGGGAATGAGCCAATTGGAGTAAAGTGCCATGCAGATTTCAATTGTTCCCATTTGTGACGAATGCAGGTATCGATTTTTTTTTGTATGCTAGCATGCTAGTTAACATTCGTGTCAGTCAGCTATAGGCTCTCACTCTGGTCAGTAGAAAATGGCCGCAAACTCCGTTGAAGCATGAAAAATCGATTATTTCCACTATCGATAGGAGTTGGGAAATGCAATGTCGGTCTTGGCCTCCCCGCTAACTTGGAGCATGTGCATGTAAATTTTGGTGCAAATCCGTCGAAAATTGCGGTCGTGCATTCGTTACACACATGCACACATCCTGACTTTTATAGATAGAGATGAAAACAGACACCATAGCAAAAATATAAATAGAAAAATTCTTTGGTATACACCCCCATACAACCAAATGGTAAGAATTAAGTTAGGTCAAAAGATCCTTGCATCAATTAATAAACATTTTCAAAAGAAGGCGGAACTAACATCAAACGTCCTTTAATAATAATAAATACCGAAATCAAACGTCCCTATCTAAATATTTCTGGAAATTAAAAGAAACCGATAAGACACCAACAGTAAAATGGAAATTAATAAGAAAAGCTAAAGCTTGTAGGTCATTTAATGACCTATGTACTTTGTGCATACATGAAAAATTATACATTATTAAGTTTCTGAAAAATAAAGATTTACTAAGTCAAAGAAATGAAATAGCTGTTTTTTGTAGGCACTGTGAAATATTTTCCTTAAGTAATAATTAATTTTGAAAAAATAATAAAGAATAAAGACAAAACATACATTTTCATATTTGATCATTAATTAGTAATTAAATTATAATATATTTATTTGTAAAAATACCGAAAAGTCTATTAGTTATTAGAATGGTACTTTAATGACTTTAATACTTTAATTAATTTAATACTTTAACGGTACTTTAAATCTGTAAGAATAAATTTTAATTAATAAAATTTAAATATTAAAAATATGTTTTACACATATTTAAATAACCCTTTTAGAAGATCTTTGTGTGTACAGATATAGCGGATAAATAAAAATGCCATTTTTTGTCATTGAAAACCCTGACGACTCACTGAATAACGGGAGTATACGTTTGTGAGCAGGTACCCACACCCCACCTAAACTTAACCTGACTTTGTAAGTAGCATATATTGGATACATAAGCTGTCTAGGAAAATTAAAACGCAACAACCCCTAAATTAAAATAAATTTTCCTTAACTTTAACAGCTCATAATATCAATATTGTCGGCACTTATGAATTAAGTAATTTTCTTAGAAAGTTATTCCTAACATCGCTTGACAATGGAACGAGACTACGGAATTTTAATTTTAATTTTTATAATTAAATTTATAAATTTAGTTTTGGTTTGTAAACATGGAAATTTTCTGTGTCGCGATGGAATCATATATTTAAAAAGAAAATATTTATAATAATTATGAATCTTACAGTATTTTCTTATTATTTTAATATATATATATATATATATATATATATATATATATATATATATTATGAGGTATATTGAGGGTGTTATGAGGTATATTGACAGCTGACAATATTTATATATATATATATATATATATATATATATATATATATATATATAAAATGTAAACATAGTGGAAATTCGTTGTCTGTTATATTTAACAATATATATATATATATTCGTTGTCTGTTATATTTAACAGTATATATATATATATATATATATATATATATATATATATATATATATTGTTAAATATAACAGACAACGAATGTCTATTATTTACATTTATATATATATATATATATATATATATATATATATATATATATATATATATATTGACAGCTGTCTGTATACCTCATAACACCCTCAAACGCTTAACCTTGGAGCGAGTAGAATGTAGATCAACATGTTTTAGTCTTCAAGAAACGAGAGCAAGACCTAAAAGGTCAGTCAATCTAACAGTGATCTCATCCCGCAATCTTCACTCTTGCTCTATAGGTAGCCTCCTTTGTAAATCATTAGTGGGTCTTAAGTGCCACTGAAGATTATCGCACAATATTTCATAATTGAATCAATTAAGTTATCAGATCCTCATACGTCAACTCGTTTTTGACTTGGGTTCCAACCTGGACACGAGCAAAATGCAGACAGCTATCTAATCCCTACAGCGTTCTAGTCCCTAAAACAGTAAATAACATGTAAGGCTCCGAATGCTTCAGGTAAGTCAACTAGTTTATTTGTAACTTATGAATAACAGCTGATAAGCGCATTGAAAAGTGTACTGAGAAGAAGAAAAAAAGAAACCAACATTGATTTAGAAAGCGAAGAAGAGGAAGAACAGAAGAGTTGGATAGAATGCAGTAAAAGTAAATTCGTTTGCGTGAATTCCTGCAAATCAGCGTCTACCAAAAAAAAACTGCATTCAAGAGGAATTAAGGAAGAACAATTTAATCAAGACGGACGCAAGCAGAATCTGTCTCAGAATTCTTAGCAATATAAAGAGAGTTAAAAAAAATAAGCATGTGATCGCTGATAGGAGAATAAACGTTAGTTAAAATAAAATTCCATAGAAAACTAAATACTACAAGAAAGAAAGAAAGAAAGAACGAAAGAAAGAAAGAAAGAAAGAAAGAAAGAACGAAAGAAAGAAGAAAAAGAACGAAAGAAAGAAAGAACGAAAGAAAGAACGAAAGAAAGAAAGAAAGAAAGAACGAACGAAAGAAAGAAAGAACGAAAGAAAGAAAGAACGAAAGAAAGAAAGAACGAAAGAAAGAAGGAAAGAAAAAAGAAAGAAAGAAAGAAAGAACGAAAGAAAGAAAGAAAAGAAAGAAAAGAAAGAAAAGAAGAAAAGAAGAAAGAACGAAAGAAAACGAAAAGAACGAAAGAAAAGAACGAAAGAAAGAAAGAAAGAACGAAAGAAAAAAGAACGAAAGAAAGAACGAAAAGAAAGAAAGAAAAAAGAAAGAACGAAAAAAAGAAAAGAAAGAAAGAAAGAAAGAAGAACGAAAGAAAGAAACGAAAAAAAAGAACGAACGAAAGAAAGAAAGAACGAAAGAAAGAAAGAACGAAAGAAAGAACGAAAGAAAGAAAGAACGAAAGAAAGAAAGAACGAAAGAAAGAAGTGATTGAGGTAAGAAAGTAAAAAGTCAAAAGAACTGAAGATCACAAAGAACAGGGAAAGAAACGGATCTTTATATTATGGAAGCATTGCGAACCTTTAAAATAAGCCAATATATCGTCAGGCAAAGAGGCAGTCCACATTGTATTGGGCCCGACAAAGTCCTAAATTTCTCCGTCTAAAGACCCAAATCTACGAACATAAGAGAGAACTACATTGAGACAATCCTTTAAATTCGCTCGTAATGCACAGAAACAATACAGACCATGACTTCGATTTTATAAATACTGCCCTAATTAGAAAAATTATTATTACTAATTCATTATGCAGTAAATACTATGATTAAATATTTTACCGTCTATAAACACAGGTAAACACTTTATTACATCACCAACTTTTATAAAACCCATACTTAAAGAGTCTAGGATATATCTACCTGCCACTACCACCGACGTAACTTTAAAAAAAAAGTGTCCCCTCATACAAAACGTCCCCAAATCAACATACGAACAACCACCAAATATAGATAAAAATGTCGACTAGACACACATACACGTACATACAAACGAATATAAATCATAATCCCGCATAGACAAAATAGAATTATGATATACATGAATTATACACAAAAGACAGATGCATGCGATGTCTACTTAACCAATAAATAACAAACGGCACAAAAAATAAAAATAACATTTTTTTTTTCTCTTCCATATTTCATTTTCTGGGGAAGCTTTAATGAAAGATAAACATGTTAATCTATAAACCTTTCCCTATTTGTTCTTTACCGTATCATTCTGTCGGATTCCAGTCCATGTTTGATCAGAATTCAAAGTCAGAAATGTAGTTGTCCGTATAATCGACAGCGTAAAATATGATTCAGACATTCGATGTTGCATAGTAATACCGAAAAAAGCCTTTCAGAAACGAAGCAAAGTATTAGAAATATAGAAACACGTGCTGAATTGCTATGTAATATCTAATCTCCTATATGGCAATGGATGCTGAACAGTCGCCTGATAGATGAAGAAGAGACTTCAAATTTACAAAGATATAATTCTTCCGGCGAATACCATGCATAGAACATGTGCGTATCGTGGAAATGTTAACGAAAATAGAACCTTTTCCAAATTTGAACATTGCTGCCACCTCAGGTATGGCACTTCTTTTGCGTATTTATCATTGTTATCAATCCTGACCTGGCATCTTGCTTCATTTATTTTCCCGCCGTCATAACATAGCTTCTCTGGGACTTTTCCATAAATATGTCCATGGTAGTTCTTTTGATGAGCTTTCTTTTTTTGGTAGAGATTCTGAGGTATTATGGTGACTGTAGTAAGAATGGCAAGTAAGAATGTGTTGTTTTGGCGTAAGGAATACTGTGGTATGTTTGGTTCAGTATTTATGGCTAGCTAAGTTTAAGTATAAGACAGAAGAAGACCAGTCTTTCCCTATCTCCCCCCGATTTTGGCCTTGTGCTACATTTTTATATTTTACAAAATAAATATTGCTTTCTTCTTTAGTATCTCGATTTTACGAATTTAAGTGCAGTACTAGATTGGCGGTTAGCTCTCATCATTTTACACTTGAATTGGCTAGACGTAACCGTAAGTTTATTCTCTCGCACTTCTCGTTTGTGGGTCTCTCTTCCGGTCTCTACTTTCCAATCAACTTTGACCTTCAAAAGTTTTAATTCCGTGCCAATCATTATCTTTTGTCTTCTTAATTCTTGTTCTTTTATTACTCTCTCGACTTAATTATTTTTTCTTTTTCTTTTATTCTTTCATCCTCAGTAACGCCCTTGCATCTTAGTGGCTTTATTGTCTTGCTTCGAGTGAAATGATTGAAAAAAAAAACTCTAAGGATCCTATTGCTAACAAATTGAAATTTGAGAAACACATAAAGAGGAAAGAAGGCATAAGGAATATAACACTAACAAGACATACGCCAGACAAGAGAATCAGGAGTAAACAATGAATAAGCTAAGTTTCATCATACTGAAATATATATATATATATATATATATATATATATATATATATATATATATATATATATAGTCTGGCCACAAGGAAGACCATGTTACGCTAATTTTCTAAGTAAGAGACGCTTCCTAGTGATTTCACCGAAGTTCGACACACACCAAAGTACCAGAAATTTCTTTCTTCAGAATGTAGACGATCATGGCTATCCACAGCTTCCGATCCTTGAACGATCTAATCATCATATCTCAATATACCTCCTCGTCGCGCTCTGCCATCCATTTATATAAACTCGTCAAGTAGAGGAAGTTACACGCTGGTTCCTGCGACCTCTCCTTCCTCCAGTGCGTCCTGTGGAAGCACCATAGAGTAATGGACAGCAGTTCGGATTGAGGAATCTGAGAGCCGGGTTCGAATACTCGCCGAGTTCATTACATTCACTTACGTGCTAATACCCTTGATAAAGAGCAGAACAGATTGATCCCTTTCGCGTTGGTTGGCAACCAGTCTAGGAGAAGAAAAACTCTAAATTCAAACTAGCATGGAACTGCTTGGATCCCACTATCCTAAAGTGTGTATGCATCTGGGTAGCCTTTCTGGATTCAAATTTCCACTGAAATTCCTTCTATGAACTTGCACGTCATTCGGGATGTGGTACGTTTTTTATCCGGTTCAACTGATTCCAGATTAATTCCATAACAAGTTCAATAAGTATGTCCTGTGAATGTTTATTTCTCCCAGCCGTCTTTCTTCATTATATGTTTGCCATATAGGAAAAAAGTGTTTTCATATTCATATATTTTTCCGTATATTACAATTAAATAAGGAAAGAAGCGTACTGTAACAGTGATTCTTACTGTTACAGTGCATTTCTTGCCTAAGTTAATTGTAATATACGGCAAAATATTCGTGAATATGAAAGGATTATGATAAAAATAAGCAACAACATAACGTTTATAATTTATTCAATCAGACGTGCCTAAAAGAGGATTTGCTGCCTAAATACACAATTTCCCTAGCAGTACAACATTATAACCGACGTTTGTGTTTTTATATCGCCTTTTCTCCTTCCTACACATATGTAATTGCAACAATCTATCTATCTATCTATCTATCTATCTATCTATCTATCTATCTATCTGAGTCACTCTCTCAGTTGTCTCTCAAATTTTTCTTCTCTTTCCTTATTTATTTTCTCCCTGCCCTCTCTTTCTTTCTCTCACTCTACCTATAAATACTCCTTATTACCCTGTTTCTCCCCATATATAGCTATTGTTCTGTATATATCCACCATCGCTAGCTTGGTACAGAACAGGGCCAAATTTGAGAGATGGTGATTTAGAAAGCTCTGGGAATCTTTCCAGTGTGTTCTGCATGCCTCGAAAATCTGCATCACCAAACCCAAGCCGAAACGGCAGAAAATTCGTAAATATTTTTATCACCCAAGTAGACTTAGATATTTCTTTCTGTATCCATTTCCCAGCGACTATTTTCTCAATGTATTTATTTCTTTCTTTAAACTAATCTTGTTCTAACTTGTCTTCAAGTTCCCTCTTCCATCTATTTCTCTTTCTACGTAATCTTTTTTTTTTCTTTTATGGCCAAGTCCTTTTCTTACTTCTTCTCTCTCCTGTACTAAATTCAGCTTCCTAAAAACAAATGCAAGAAAAGAAATTTTGAAGACCTTCTCCGAATTAACGGAAATGACGTGTCTACTTAAACGATCTTCAGCTCAATTGTCGTCTGTTTGAAGCAAACTTTTCTTGTTGCTTTGGCTTTGAACGACAACCAACTCATTTTAAAATTCATCATCGAGAATCTTTCGGCTTCTGTACGCCTAATTCAAATAAAATTTCAAATAGAACACTTAATCAATTGTTCAATAAACAAATTTATAAATGGAATTATCATGCTTTAATTTTTTTCAAAAAATTAAACATTAAAATTTTAGAACGTACATATTAAAATCAATTCTATCCCCCACTCACACACACACACAGACGCGAGCGCATATATATATATATATATATATATATATATATATATATCGTCATCCACAGACAGACTGTTTCGCTGTATCACAGTTCATCAGTGTAGCTAGACGTCCGGTTGCCTGTTTGTGCAGTATCCTTTTAACTTTCTTCCTAGGAAAATGAATAGGTTACACTCACAACAACGCTATGGGCGTTACTTATTTTTTTACTTATGTTTTCTACTTTCACGTTTATACCAAAATACCGAATACACCAACCAGTAGAAGAAATAAATACTGTTTCAAATAAACGAAACGTCTTCTGAAATGCTGATATGTACTAAAAATAAAGTTTGAAGTAATATATATATATATATATATATATATATATATATATATATATATAAAAGTGGAGATTGAAGTCAACACCCAGAGGCGAGAGTCTGTTTCATGCTAAGCGCAATCATCAGGCCATGTGCACATGCAAACAGACTGTCGCCTCTGACTGTTGAATCAATATTCACTTTTATATTTGCATACGCACAAACTCCGATATTGAGCACTTTTACCCATAAATATAGTATAACTTTATGATGAAATATAGTTTTAAGTATAACCGGTAAATACTATATATATATATATATATATATATATATGATGAAATATAGTTTATATATATATATTAAAAAATAGGATTATACTGGTTACACGACCCGGTTTTCAACCACAAGTTTTCTTTTCAGGTGGTATTGGCAAATTTTGTTTTTTTGTTTTTTTTAGCGTTCCATTTCATTTATAAACCTAGCAGCATGATAGCATTTTGTTCGCTGGCCTGACATTGTTCTGAGCAACAACTATATATATATATATATATATATATATATATATATATATATATATATATATATATCCCTTTTGCTGTGGTGACCTCCTGATACAGTTTTCCCTTCTACTGTTCCCCTTTTAAAACATATCCACCGTTCTCGTAATGGTTTTTGAATGGATTTTGAAGATGGAAGCCTGAGTATGAACTATGGCACCATTACTGAAGGCCTGAATGATTTTTTTCCTCTCACCATTGCTCAATTTTAACCTGTTCTCTTTCTAGCTGAATAACTCAAAGGATTTTTCAGTGATATTTTCAAGAAATGATATCAAGATGGCTAAACGTCTTATCTGAAAACCTGGA